TGGCACTATTTTTTACTTTCTGCAAGACTGGGGCATGTTATTTAACCTCCCTGTGCTTCAGTATTCTCATCTAATACATATGAATAATAGTAGTGCCCACCTCAAAGGTTTAAGGATTAAATGAAGTAAAGTATGTGAAACACTTGGTGCCTGTCATACTGTGTCTATATTTGTTAAATATGATGAAGCTGCTCTGTGAATGGTCTCCTTGCAGGTCTCTTACTCCTTGGGGTTGAGAGCTACCATCTTCCTCCAAAGAGTGGGACAGGGGCACTCAGCAGTGCAGCAGTGGTAGCCACAGAAACCTTTTCCCTCTCTTTACATCCATATTTTTCCTTTCTTTGTATCTTGTCCCTGTTTATATGCATGAGGGACTGAAAGGTTCAAGAGTTGTGAAACTGGTTCCTAAACTTTCCTTAGTAAAGCTGCATATATAGATTTGTTACACGTTGACTGTTTCTGGTATCTATCTTTTTGAGAACCTCAGAACTTAAGACAGAAAGAGTTCAACTCCAACTACCTCTTGTACCTATGTCGTGTTTCTTGAATCTCTCTTGACATTTTTAAAAATTATATTCATTTCTTTTTCTTTTTCTTTTAGTTCCTAAATAGTTTCTCACATGTCTCCTACTTTTCAGTCATGTTCTCTGAACTATTCAGTCTGTCTTTTACTGATTTCATTGTATTTTTTGAATTATATTTTAAATTTTACTAGCATTTTTCTATACCTCTAATTGTTTTCATGGCTGCTTTGTATCCTTAATTTTTTACAGTCTACTTAAATTTAATATTGTCCTACTTCATGTTAAATGTAGGAATCTTGTAGCATTATTGACACATGTACAAACTCTCGCATCCTCTTTGCTATAAATTATCGTACATATTTCAACATATGGTATAAAACACCATAATGCACTCTTTGATCTGAAGAAATCTTTAGCATTGTTTGCAGTGCAGGTGTGCTGGTAATGAGTTATCTTAGCTTGTTTTATCTGAAATGTCTTTATTTTATCTTCATTATTGAAGGATGCTGCATATAGGATTCTGGCTCATAGTTACTATCTTTTGGTCTTCATTGTTTTTAATGAGAAGCCCTCCCTCATTCAAATGTTTATTCTCTTTATTCAATATGTCACTTTTCTGTGTTTGCTTTAAACATTGTCTCTTATCTTTGATTTCTATCAGTTTGATCATAACATTGTTAAAGTCTAGTTTTCTGTGTATTTATCCCACTTAGAGTTCGCTGGGCTTCTTGCATCTATAAATGTAAATCTTTGAGCAAATTAAGGACATTTTCCACCATTATTTTTTCAAATAATTTTTTCCTTGCCCAATTCTTTCTGTCCTTTTCATCTCAGACTGCAACTGCATGTATATTTGATCTTTGATATTGTCCCATAGGTTCCTGAAACTCAGATAATTCTTTCATATAATTTTAAAATCGTTTTCCTAATCATCAGATTGTTGGATAATTTCTATTGCTAGATATTAAAGTTCACCAAGTCTTTCTTTTATCATTTCTAATATGATGTTAAGTACATTCAGTGAATTTTGAATTCCAGAAATTATAATTTTTATTTATGGAATCCCCATTTCATTCTTTTTTGTAATTCTATTTTGCTTTTGAGATTTTCTATATTTTCATTCATTGTTAGTATATTTTCCTTTACATTCTTCATCATGATTGTAATCATCTCTTTAAAACACTTATATGCTGATTCCAATATCCGATTTTTCTCATGGTCTGTCTTTATTAATTGCCTTTTTTCTTGAGTGTAGATTATATTTTCTTAATTTTTATATGTCTAGTAAATTTTTATTGTGACTGGACAGTGTGAATAGTATGTTGTTTAAGGAAGCAGGGAACCTGGCTGGAATCAAACTCAAATGGAAATCTCAGTTCACTTTGTTTAGACTTAGCTGAAATTTTTAAAGTCTTTCCCATGCATCCTTATTTCAAGAATTGGCTAAAGTTTTTGGCAGATCTCATACCCAGAATTTGGGGACTTTTCTGTCTAGCTCTCTCCTTTCTGGGATTTTCCTCATCCTCACTTTCCAGCTGTTGTCACTGCCCCAAAGTCTTTCTTCTGATTTTTATTAGCTAGTAAAACTGCTACATTCTATTAGAGTTTTAGAATTGTGTCAACTGAAGCCTACCCCCAGGCTAAAAGTCTTATAAAAAACAGGACACTCACCCCATATCATTTCTTTCTTCCAAGGGAATCCCCCTTCACTGCCTGCTTTTGGTTACTCTCCAGTGCCTTTCGTAGTTTTTAAAATATTTTGTCCTGAATTTATAGTTATTATCTGTGGGAAGGTCAGCTCATTAGGAGTTACTTAGCCATTATCAGAAACAGAATCAGACATTGTATATTTTATCTGAAAGGAATCTTAAGGAATCTTTACTCACTGGAGATCATTCTCTTGCATAGATGCAATGTCCTCATCCATCTTACTGAGAAGATTCATTTCTAAGGATTTCTAATGGTTCTTTGTAGTCATTCGTTTTTTATTTTTTATTTCAGCATATTATGGGGGTACAAATGTTAAGGTGATGTATACTGTCCATGCCCCCTCCCCCTTGAGTCAGAGGTTCAAACATGACCATCCCCCAGACGTTGCATATCTCACTCATTATGTTTGTATATACCCATCCCCTCCTCCCCCCTCCCACCTGCCCGACACCCAATAAATGTTATTCCTATATGTCCACTTACCTGTAGTCATTCTTTTATTGATGAGTATTTCTTCTGAATAACCTCTGAGTTTGAACTGTTCAATCTTGTGGTAATTATGCTGTGTTTGCTCAGTGTAAAAAGTGACAGGAAAAGCATATCTTGTCCAATTTGATAGTTAAGTGAGATTCTTTTGGAAATTATTACCTGAACGTGTTAGTATAGTTCTGCATTAGACTCATTGCTCAGTCCCTGGGTGAGCTCTTCTAGAATTGTCTGTAACTTCACCCACAATATATCCCACACAAATTGTTCAAGGGTCCTGGAATATTAATTCTGGACCCACTTTCTCCTTTTAAATAGCACTTTAATATATTTCCTGTTTTTCTTAGCTACTTTAGTTTTCTTGTTATTTTAGTGATCATTTATTTTTCAGGGTGTAAGGCCTCCATCTTCTGTAAGAAGTCAATTTGCTCAAATTTAATTAGGAAATATACCTTTTCTGCTAATATGTAGAGTATTGCACATGAATAGAGGCAATATAATCTTAAAACTGGATTTTTAACTAAATTTTAAATATATTTGAAGAGTTCATTGTATGTCTTTATCTATTTGCATGTGTATGTGTGGCTTAAAACAACAATTTGTTACCTCTCATGGTTATGTGAGCTGGCTTGCTCAGCTGTGTGGTTGTCCCTTGGATTCTGTCATGCGGTTGCAGTCAGATATCACCTGGGATAGAATCACCTGAAATTTCGACTGTGCTGGACATCAAAGATGGCTCATTCACATGGGAAGCTCATTCAGCCTGTCCACCAGAGTGCCTCCATGTGTCGTCCCCACATAGCTTGGGCTTCTCACTACATGGGCAGTGGGTTCCCAGAGGGAGTGTTCCAAGAAGAGATATCCCAAGATCCAGCCAGGTGAGTTAAGGGCTATTCCCTGGAACCAGTGCATCATCACTATTGCTATAATATTTTGGTCAAAATGGTCCATGTGCCTTCGTCTTTCAAATGAAATCATCTTTTGAACTTCAATTAAAAAATTCATATATATATATATATATGTATATATATATCTCAAAGTGATTACATATATATGATAAGTTCCTCCTTTTCCCATTTATTGCAGTAGTTTTACTAATTTGTTCTGTGTCCTATTTTTTCTCAGGTTAACAACACTAGTTTTGAAAGTAGAAAAATTGCATTTGCTATACTATAATTCAGATTTTTTCCATTAGGCTAACCTTCACCTATCTTACTTTGCTCTCTCAATTTGAGATTAAATTTAGACTAGTAATTTTTGCCTAACTTCCCAAGTCATTTTTTGGAATGATTAGGGTGATTTACATGATATCAATAGACCTCTTAATAGAATGTCAAGGAAGGCAGTTTCTATTGGCAAGGGGACCTCCAGTTTCATTGAGAAGCATTCAATTAGATGGAAAACAGATGCTTATTTTTGTGTTATAAACCTCAATGCAGGTTGTGTGGTAATTACTTTGAAGAGCAGGATAACAATTTATGTAATCAGCAGGACCCTATAATTACTAATGCATAATTTCTAAACAGCATTTAGCAAAATGAGGACCATACATATACTTTGTAATGAAAAAGATGTGTTTGACACCACACTAAATTAAATTAAAAATTTGCATATTTTCTTCCAGATGAAGTACTAGCTTCATCTGCTCTATTTTGCTGGATGAATCCTGCCTACTGCTAGCTCCTCATAGGATCATGGAAATGTTAAATCACAATGATGGAAGAATGGGAGCATAAAAATAAGGAGTAGAGAAAAGCTCCCTCTCCATTGTCTAGGGTGATATAGTATTATTCTAAGAGATGATTTGGAAAGCAATATCTAGGCAACTTCTTTCCACTGAGAATTTAACATCAAGATCATATAAAATTCAGAATGGCAGAACACTTAAAAATTATCTGCATTTACCTCTTTGTTACAGATGGAAAAATTGAGGCCCAGTAAAACAATATAACTTGTGCAACATCAAGCAATTTGGCAGTAGGAGTAAGAAAGCATTCACCCAGTTAGTCTTGGTCCTATGTGACACTGAATCCACTATTATAGTCAGTTCATGTAGAGTTAGTGTCAGACGCACTGCATACTCCATTAGCCCCAGGGATAGTGAACATTTCTATATTTTAAAATTTACATGTACATTTGCATTGCTAGGAGGTTTTTAGCATTCCAGATGATGCGTAAATGTAGGGCATCTCCTGCAGATAATTTAAGTTCTATACATATTGTGAAAGTTAAGCACCAATTGTTTGCATTCTTTCTGAAATACCATTGATGAATTCTTACCTACAGTTCCTGAGGTCACACCAAGAGGATTACCAGTTTCTTCTTCAAAGCTCTGGACCTAAAATATCAAAATGCATTAATCTCATTAGAAATTTTTTTTCATGATAAATTCACTTCATTTAATCAACATATAATTAGTGTCTACTGGCACCTGATAAGAGGGATAAACATGAGTTCCTGAACTCAAATAACTTACAGTCTGCTGGGAGGAAGTGGCATGGACAAGGTGCTCATGGTAAAGATACAAAGAATTAAAGGAGTTCAGGAGAAAGGAAGATCACATCTGGGTGGGAAGATCAAGGCTCCTTCTGGAAGATGTGCATTTAAAATAAATTTAACAATTTTATTATTTTTCTAGATGTTTTTGCTCCCAAAGAACTTTAAATATGTTTGGAGAATGCAAGTAAATTTTGTCTCAATAAATTTATGAAGAGTAATTCAGAAAATCTGCTTGCTATGTAGTGCTTAAACAGATTTAAAAAATTAATTTCCAAATTGATATAGCAACATTTATATTTGATATTCTTTTTAGAAATTAATAAATACTACTTTATTAATGACAATAAAGTTATTATTAAAAGAAAATAATAAATATTATTTTTAAAATAGCAATACAGATTACTATAGAAACATGATACATAGAAAAAATTAAAGAAGGGAAGAAAACAATTACTGTTAATATTTTAGAGTATTTCTTTGCAAGTTTTCTTTTCATACACTTATTTTGAATATAGTTATGTAGTCAAACTTTTTCACTCAGAAATTTGAAGGATGAACTCTTTTCCCACATCATAAAATTTGTCTTAAAACGCCATCTTTAATGACTGCACAATAGGCCACATTTTGAAGGTACATTAGTTTACTTAACAATTTCCCATTGTTGGAACATTTTCTAAATTTTGCAATTAAAAATGATGCTCAAATGAATATCCTTATACATTAATGTACTTCTACATCTCCTATTATTTATTTCAAATTAATATCTTAATGTTGGAACCTGAACCAAAGGACATAAACATTTTAAACATTGTGGTACAATAGGGTCAAAAATGACCTTTAACTCAGGGATAGACTAAGGACCATGAGAATATAGCTCAACAATGTAATGAGAAGAAATATTCATTTCCTCTTTTTAATCCTTCATATATTTTTTCAAAGAAGTTACTTTATACTTATAATTACTTAGGCATACTTCTTAGAATGATTTTTATTGGTTTTGGTAACTGAAACCAGTGTGCACCATATAAATTTTCAAGTGTACTAAGGAAGTTCTTTTGCCATGACCATTACCATGGAGAAAAATTCACTTAGTGCAATGTAAAGCACAGATTTGTCTATTGAAAAAAAGAACAAAAGCAAAAAGGAACAACAATTTAAAGTAAAAGCCAAGTGTATTCTTTGGCTGGTCCACCCTAGCCAAACTTATTAATTAATTTAAATAAAAGAAATATTTATAACTTTTGAAACATCCCCCACCTAATCTAAGTGCTGATTGGCATTACTTAATAATTAGGTTAATGTTCTTACACATGAATTCCAGAGTATAGTATCCTTATATGCAAATGAGAAGAAAGGGTGAAGATTATTTATTATGGATATAAAGAAACATCCTACCTTGAGTTTACAATTGCACAAGTGTCTCAATATTAAATTCATTTAATATGTTTGGGAATTTAAAAAGAGAGGAGCTGACTTAATTTTATTAAGTAAAATTAAACACAAAAATATGTTGATTTTTGCATTAAAAATCTATGCACAATTTTTTTGGAATCATACTTTTAAGAAGTGAACCAAATATTGCCAAACTCAGCCTTTAGTAAGACTAGAGAAAACATCATAGGTTGATCTGGAGGCAAAACTTGGCCAATCATAGTTGAAATTCTGATAGCTAGATATTTAAATACATTGGCTCATGTTTTAAATGCCATGAAAATTTGCCAATTTCACACATAGTTTTTGTTTCTTATAATTGGATTTTTAGATTTTCCATTGAAAAATAAACGTGGCATTGGCTCTTGTTTAAGATCCAATCTACCCAAGCTTCGTTCACTCATCTATTGTTATGGAGTAAAATAAATTTTTTCCCTGGGTGAGAATGTAATATTTTACATACACTTTTTATGAAAACGAAATTCAAGTAGTTTCTTTTATATCATTTTTAGGACTATCTCTGTCTTACATATACACATACAGTCCTTCACACATATAAATCTTGAAAAATATTAAAGAAACTCCATAGATAAAGTTGGCTATGAAGTTCAACAAAATATTCTGTTTTTCTATGAAGGCCACCCTTAGATTAAATTAGTATCAAATTCTTTTATTGTTAATTTACTCATTCGACAAATATTTACTGAGTATCTACTATGTGCCACAGAAATATGTGAGGTTTTTTTTTTATTCTGATGTTTGAGTGTGTTTCTTCCCTTCCTCCAAATACATATGAACCTATAGTTTTTTCTTGAATAATTGTCATTTTGAAAATATTTCAAAAGTTGTGTGTGGTAGCTTGTGCCTATAATCTCAGCTACTTGGGAGCCTGAGGCAGGAGAATTGCTTGAGCCCATGAGTTTGAGAACAACCTGGGCAACATAGCAAGACACTGTCTTCAAAACAGTAAAATTAAATTAGGAAGAGGAAAGGCAACATGGCTGACGAGAGACATCACTTACTGGACTATCCAGAGGGAAGGAAGTGTTTCAGATAAAGGAGAGGGGAGATAGGACACAGCTCAGGTGTAGGTCGAAGGAATAAGTACCAGAGCCTGCCAGGGACCTCTCAGAGGAACATTGCAAAGCAGAGAAAGAAGAGGAAAAAGGAAAAAAAGATATTGGTGTGGATCAAACCCAGAGAGGCTGAGAGCCCAGTCAAGGGGAAAGGTGACTAGCAGGCTACCAAGATACTTGGAAGCTTTTCCACCCCCACAAGCCCAAGCACTGCAGCAACCCCAGAACTGTGGGGAGAACTTGCATAACATTCCATGTGGAATTTCCCTCCAAGGAGAGTAACCTGAGAGGCTAGAGAGCTGGCTTTCTTCCATTCAGACTCTTATCCTCCCCTGCCCACTGCAACCAAGAGAGAAGTTTGAGCCAAGAATTTGGCAAGCAGCTGCCTCTCTGCAGCCAGTACATCCTCTAGTCTGAAGTTTCTACAGAGACTGCGGTCCACACCTTTTCCCGTGAGGACATGCAGTGGATCTGGGTGCATGATCTAGAAGCTTTCTGTCAGCTGGCATTTACCAGAGATTCATGCCAGTGAGTTAGACACACAGGCTAGATGCTATGCCCCCAGGACTTGAACGGGTTGCTAGAGGACACAGGATTTGGACTTGGGAGGCGAGGGTGCCCACATGGGTGGAACTGATGGGAAAAGACGGGGGGGGGGTCCAAGACACAGTGATTTGGGGGAATGCCCAATCTCCCCAAAAGGAAAGCCACACAGTCAGATTAGGGTGGGTCCTCCACCGGGGAAGATCCCAACCTGTGGTTCCATAGCAATAGAATGCAGCACATTCAGGTGCCTGTTTGCAACCATACATTGGAAGATAGGGGTGATGCAAGAGGGGCAGAGTTCACTCCTAACAGCTAGTTGAGGAATAACAACCCCTTCTTCATGAGCAGTCATCCTGGTTTGGAGAGCCTGCCTCAAACATCCTCCCAGAGACTCTCCCTAATGGCTGGGAAAATGACCTTTGAGCCCTGTCAGGGCTTTGCAAAGCCTTCCAGGCTCACACAACCTAACCATGCGCAGCCTCACCCTTGCTCCTCCACTCACCTCTGCTGTGGTGGAGAACTAGCAATCCCCTGGGAGGTACAGGGTCCCTCCCAAAGCCTGGGACATTCAGGTGTTTCTCCTGAGGGACTAGAGCTTATTACAGACCCAAAAGAACATCTTAGCAGTTGGCTGTTTCCTGCAAGCATCAACCACTGACAGGGAGAACAACTCTATAGCTCATTATAGTATCTACCAACTCAGTTAAATAGGGAGTGGCTGAATCTTACTCAAAAGCATTACCCACCATCTCAGAGATTAAGCTGGGGATCCCATTACAATTCTCACTGCTGGGAAGATGTGAAGACAGAAGAATAGAAGCAACCTTAGGGGACACTGCTTTTTAGGGGAGAAACAAAATTATAGGAAGCTTGATCTGTGAGGGGTCTCACTCTACTACTGCAGACCTCTGAGCTGATTGGGGAGCTATTCAGAGTCTGTGCAGAGACATTCCAACAGAGCAGGTGCAGCACAGATCTGGTTCCTGCCAATCCCAGCTTTCAGCAACCGATGCCATCCTGATCACTCTGGTGCATGGAGCCAGGTCTGCTCGGGTCCCAGTCTTCCAGGAGCAGCCTTTGCTTTACTCCTGCTAGGCTGAGGAGGGAACAGATGCTCTCCCATGTTGTGCCCTGTGACTGGGGGCCAAACACACCTCCTATGCAGTGTGGGAGCTGAACAGAGAGGGGCCTCAGGCACCATAGGCACCACTTGGGAAGTCTAGGGTGACTTCCTCAGTGGATCCTAGGTGTGCAGGGGGAAAACTTTGGTTGACCAGCAGCTCCAGACTGCCTACACAGACCCTGTGATACACAGGCATACTGATACAAACTCTTGCCTGTGTGATTGGGCATCAGCAATCCCCCTGCTTGTGGAATAGCCCTCTCGCATAGGAGCAGCTCTGTCCCCCAGATATCCAGAGCTAGCTCTGAAGCTCCCACTGTGTCTGAGTCCAAGGCTCTCTCCCTGTAGCTCCAGGCTCCCCCCCACCCCAGCACTGTGACTCTACCCCTGAGACTCCAGCATTGTGCCTAGATGCCAACACCTCAGCACTGAGTCCCCACTGCCACTGCTGGTTCAGCAGAACCTCCCTAAGGTCCAACACTTCACTCAGGCCCCCAGCCCTGAGCAGCCATAACTCCTGGACTTGGTTCAAGAGAGTCTCCAGCAAGATAGAACAGATGCCCTGCAATCCTATTAACCCAGAGCTGAGAGAAGAGAAGCCAGATGAAAAGAAACCAGCAAAATAACTCTGGAAACATGAAAAAACAAGATAGTTTGACACTCCCAAGGGAACACGATGGAGCTACAGTAGTGGACTGCACCCACAAGGAAACTGTCAAAATGACAAAAATGGAATTTAGAATGTGGATGGCAAATAAGATGAATGGAATTGAAGAGAAAATTGAAAACCAACAAAAAGAAGCCAAAAAACATATCAGGAAATCAATGAAAAAAATGATAATGTCACTAGAGAACTAGATAACAATAAAAAAGGATATAATGGAACTTAAAGAAATGCAAGAGTCATTTGGGGAATTTAAAAACACAACAGAAAGCTTTAACAATAGGTCAAACCAAGGAGAAGAAAGAATCTCAGAGCTGGAAGCTAAGGCTTTCATGATAACTGAGTCATTCAAAGAGGCAGAGAAGAATATTAAAAAGTCCAAGCAATCACTGAGAGAAATATGGAACTATGTGAAGTGAACTAACATTCAACTTATAGGTATCCCTGAGAGAGAAGAAGTAAAAACTAAAAACATGGAAAACCTATCTGAGGAAATTATTGAGGAAAACTTCCCTGGTATTGCCAGAAATTAAGACATACAGATACAAGATGGAGAAGACTTGGAAGATTCATAGTAAATAGGACATCTCCAAGACACATAGTAATAAATATGGCCAAAGTCAAAATGAAGGAGAAAATTCTGCAAGTACCAAGATGAAAGCATCAAATAATCTACAAAAGAAAACCCATCAGGTTAACTGCAGATTTCTTAGTGGAAACATTACAAGCCAGAAGGAAATGGGGCCCTATATTTAATCAACTTAAACAGAACAACTGCTAGTCTAGAATTTTTGTATCCTGAAAAACTAATTTTCACAACTGACAAAGGAATTAAGTTTTTCCAGACAAGCAAACACTGAGGGAATTTTTCATTATCAGACCTGCCCTGCAAAAAATACTCAGAATAGCATTATACGCAAATCAGCACAGCAGATACCCACTAGTGTAAAGTGAAGTCACCTAAAACCCTTCCAAAACTCACAATTCTTATAAAACAATAGAACAAGAGGTAAAACAAAGCAATAAGGGATAATCCAAGAGGATGAACAAACCAACATCCCACATATCAATGCCATGAATTAACATTAACAGACTCAATGCTCCTCTCAAAAGACATAGGCTGCCTGAATGGAGAAAAAGACACAACCCAAGTATCTTCTGTCTCCAGGAAACACACCCAAACCACAAGAATGCACACAGACACAACATTAAAGGATAGAAAAAAATATTCCACGTGAACAAAAATCAAAAGACAGCAGGTGTAACCATTCTTATATCAAATAAAATTAAGCCAGCCAAGGTAAAGAAAGACAAAGAGGATCATTATATAATGCTAAAGGGAGAAATTCTACAAGAAGACATAAAAATTCTAAACATATATGTACCCCAAACAGGCATTCCCAGATACATAAAGCCAATTTTACTAGAACTAAACAAAGAAATAAATAGCACCATCGTAATTGCCAGGAACTTCAACACCCCACTGTCAGAGCTTGACAAATCAACAAAGCAGAAAATAAATAAAGAAACAATGGACTTAAACCAAACTCTAAATCAAATGGACCTAACAGACATTTACAGAATATTCTACCCCCAAACTACAGAATACACATTCTTCTCAGCAGGACATGGGACTGTCTCCCATACTGATCATATCTTAGGCCACAAAACAGGTCTCAACAAATTTTAAAAAATTGAAATCATACCACGTATCTTCTCAGACAACAGAGGAATAAAACTGGAAATCAATCACAAGAGAAACACTCAAACCTACAGAGTCATGGAAATTAAATAACCTACTGCTGAATGATTACTGGGTCAAGAATGAAATTAATATGGAAAACAAAAAATTGTTTGAACTCAGTGACAAATGAGACACAAGTTATCAAAATCTATAGGACACAGCAAAAGCTTTCTTCAGGGGAAAATTCATAGCCTTAAATGCCTACATCAAAAAGAAAGAAAGATCAGAAATTAACAACCTAATGTCATACCTCAAGAACTGGAAAAGGAAGAACAAACCAAACCCCAAGCCAGCAGAAAAAAAGAAATAATGAAGGTCAGAGCAGAACTAAATGAATTAAAATACAAAAAACTATATATATAAAAAGTATTACTGAAACAAAAATTTGGTACTTTTAAAAGATAAATAAAATCAAGAGACCTTTGCTAGATTAACCAAGAACAGAAGAGAAAGGACCCAAATAAGCTCAATCAAAAATGAAAAAGGCGACATTACGACTGATATGGCAGAAATACAAAACATCATCCATGAATGCTACATAAATCTCTACATGCATAAGCTAGAGAACGTAGAGGAAATGGACAAGTTTCTGGAAACACACAACCTTCCAAGACTCGACCAGGAAGAAATATCAATAGAACTCCTGAACAGACCAATAACAGTGAGATCAAATTAGTAACAAAAAAACTTCTTCAAGAAACAAAGCCTTGGGCCAGATGGAGTCACAACTGAATTCCATCAGACATACAGAGAAGACCTGGTACATATAACACAAGATCATTCCATAATATTGATAAGTGAATCCTCTCTCACTCATTCTATGAAGCCAGTATCATCTTGATACCAAAGCCAAGAGAGGGCACAACAAAATAAGAAAACTACAGACCAATATCCCTTATGAATATAGATGCAAAAATCTTCAGTAAAATACTAGCAAACAAAATTCAACAGTGCATCATAAAAATAATCCACTAGAACCAAGTGGTCTTCATCCCAGAGATGCAAGGATGATTCGACATATGTAAATCAATAAATGTGATTCATCACATTAAAAAAAGCAAAAACGAAGACCATATGATCTTTTCTTTATGTGCAACTTGGTATCTGTCTATCCCTGTACTCTCACATATAGATGACATACAAGGAACATTGTTTTCCTCTAAGTCAGCCTAGTTGGACGTGGAGGAAACTTAAAGGTGAGTGGAGTCTAATGAGGCTTGACAATGAGTTGAAGTTTTGTGAAACTTCTTCTTTAGATCTTAGCTAATATAACAGACTGACTAATGAATAGCAAATTGTCTTGACATTCTTTATAGTAATATAACTAATAGTTTGATAATTAAATAATCTTTGCAAATTTGAATTTAAAAAAAAAAACACTCTTTTTGAGTGCCACTTCAATGTATCCTCAAATGAGAGGACTTCTGTTTTTTTCCTCCTTTTATAATTTTTACTCATTTTAATGTTATTATTTTCAATTCATTTTAATATTTTAAGGCTCTTCAACTTTTTATGTAAGGCATATGCATGCATGTACATACAGACACATATATACATAGACATTAGGATCATTAACATCTACATGTTTTGAGGCCATTTTTATATCTTTGTGGGTGGTCAGGGCTTCCAGTAGGCATATGCACCTGACTAAATCTTACTCTTCTTTTAAGATTATGATTAAGCATTACTTCTCATAAGTTTCTTGATCCTTTCAGCCTCTGGGCTTGTTAAGCATGTCTTTGCTTGCTCCCAAATATCCCAAAACATATCTGAATAGTAACATAAAAAGTGTATCTGTTGGGCTGTCTCTGTCCCTACCACATTACTGTTTCTGTGCTCATCTCTGCCACTTCTCTGCAGCGCCCTTCAAGGTAGATTTCATCACCATTTCTGTGCTGGCAACCCTCTGCCTGGCACATAGAGGGCTCAATGGAGAGGTGACCCCACCTTGGGGATTTGCATACAAATATCCTGCCCTACTTTTGAATAATTTTATATGAAAGTAGAGAAAAAGCTCTTCCTCTGTAATTACTCTTTTGTAATTATGTTAAATAACAGAGTTATTATCAACAAGCTAAATCCCAGTCCCAGTTGCCAATATGAATAGAGAAATAAGCAGAAATGTGAATGCACTTTTTGGGAAAAAAAACAAAAAACAAGACACAGAAGTACAGTTGGGTATGTCACCTAAGGGAGGGTGAAAATGAGTGGGAGTGAAGGTGGGGGTGAAGGGGCAAAAAGTCTACGTGAAAGGGGAGTTGAGCCGTGCAAAAATCAATAAATCCCAAAGCAAACAAATGACATGCCAAACCCTTAAAATCAAACCAAACCCAAGTCGTCACTGTATTGTCCAAGGTGCTGCATTAGGCATTGTGGGGGAAATATTTCCAACACATGACCATGGTTCTCAAGAAGCTAGTCTCCTGGGGAAGACGGCATTCCCAATACTCCATCTCTAACATAACAAGCTCTTCCTGCCAAAGCCATGAGAATACAGAGGAGCAGTGTCCAGGGCAAGTTTCTCTGAGTGGGAAATAGTTGAACTTGCCCTCAAAGAAGGTGAAACATGGAAAAGTAGAGAGTAGATGAAAAGCAGATTGAGATGCATAACAAAACATCGAGCAAAAGCAAAGTCAGATGCAACTCATGGGTTCAACTGTGTGCAAGAAAAGAAAAAGAAATAGAAGAAAGGCTGGTTTCATACCAGTTTATTTCTAGCTGAAGCAACTAAAATGACTTTAAATGGATGAAACCAAGTCGGACAGTAAGATGTAATGCTGAGGGGGAGAAAGATGGAGTGATTAAAGGAGGGCTAGAAGGCAAAGGATGCTGTGGTGCAGGTTATTTCCCTTGGGAGGTGAAGCATGTTTTTGTAACACTCACTTCTTCCATTTCGAAGGAGTCTGGTCCTTTACCCACAAGACGACACAAGTTCCTGAGCTTGTTAGTCTGAATTCTGTCCTTGACGGACCCCTCAGACACACAGGAAAGGGGATCTTGCTTGGCCAGCGTGGACGGGCAAGGCCACTGCTTGCTCAGCAGGGCTCGTGGAGGATGACAAAGTATGGAGTCATCACAGGATTGCAGAGACTGGTGCTCTGCAGAAGTAGACAAACGATTTTGGTGGTGGTGGATGGGGGCTGCTGGGGACTCTGCTACACACTCCCCTGGGTTTGCAGGGGGGATGAAAACTTCATCCTTCGTCTTGAAGGACTCAGACACTTCTGGGTCATAATCTCTCCTGATGTTCTGTCTTGAAGCTCTCCTTAAAAGTTTACCCATCCTTCTCCGATGCTCTTTGGACCCACTCGCTGGGGTTCTCTGCACAGTCTCTCCTCCAGCTTCCCCATCGGCTTTGTTTTGTAGGATGTTGACGTCGTTCAGCAAAGACGAGAAGGCATTGGTCACATGGTCCAGGATTTCCAGCTGTCGGAAACGGCCTGAACAACACGAGAAACACAAAATTTTTAGACTGGGTCTTTTCGATGAAACTGCATTTAACGTAGTTACGAACTGAAGAGTTGGTTAATGTGTGATTTTCAAGATGGGAAGGACATTAGGGTCTTGAAACTCAAGTATTTCTCACTATGTGCCATTGCTATTATGGAGATGATTCCTCCACATAATGAGATATCACTGTGCTATGGGGAAAGTGAATAGCTTTTAGATTTAAATATACCTAAATTTATAGGTTTCTATATGCCTATTATTTGTATGTGTTAATCATTAAAAACTGTACACATAGGTGAATCTCTACACTAACGTGTAATAAACTGTCGAAGAATGAAGCCAGCTCTGTCAACAACAAGTGACCTGAGTACTCTTCCACCACTTTACATGGTGGATATCCCCGTCATCACCTCCACCATCCCCATCCATATTGCCACCAGAGAGTGTGGAAATGAAACCTTACATGGAGCCATAAGACATAAATAGTAATCAAAGTCTGATCTTTATGCAATATAGATATAGCCAGAAGTTAACCAGCCATTGTTCCCTAACGTCCTTACTGCTGTAACTGGTTACTGTTTAATGTCAATGATTTCCCTGACAGGTTCAAGATTTGTGACTCCCCGCACTACTTCTCTAGATAACTTTACCATTGTAAAGTCCAAGGACTTGTGCTTCTCTAGATAACATTACTATTGTAAAGCCTGGGGCTGGTCTTTGAGGTATTTTTCAGACTTCGCATTCTGGGGAGACCCACTGGCACCAACCAGACCCACAGATAAGTGTGGGAACAGATCCAATAGCCTTGAGACCATCCATGCAAGAAATCTGCCAACTGAGAACATAACCTCTGCTTCCCAGTCCTATGAGTTCATTCCCTACCAATTAACAAACCTAATTTCCTAGCCCTTTGCCTGCCAAGCTATCTTTAAAAATCCTTTCTCCCAAATTATTGGGGAGCCATATTTGAGAAATTCCTCCCACGGCGTCTGCGATATTAAACTCTTTCCTTGCTGTAACACCTGAAGTCTCAGTGTATTGGCTTCCACTTGAGCAGCAGGCAAAGAACCTGGTTGGGCTGTAACAGAAAGATCATGATACATGGGGTCAGAAGGCCTGGATCCAAATCCCAGGTCAAACACTCACTGGAAGTTTGACCTTGGTGTAAATTAATAGATATACATACAGTGCTCAGCCTGTTCGAGGCACAGAGTAAACAGACAGTTTTTTCATCTAGGGGAATCATACCTGTCTCATGTATCTTTCACATCTGTATGAGCATCAAAGCAAAGTTGTTAAGCCACCATGCTATGTAAGTATCAGTCATTAAAATAATGATTATATTAATAAATGTGCAAGAGTTAGGAAGGGAATATACTGTTTGCAGTCTTTTAAAAGAAGATTGTCATTAATGTGAAAACTCTTTGGCCCTTCAAAACAAACCAGCTCCTCAACTTGTAAGCCTTCCAGGATGATCTGGCCTCAGATCATTTAGGCAAAATGTAAATATAATATTAACTTAATTAGCATATAGAAGAGACCTAATGTAGCAAGCGCTAATTTGGGAACACATTGCTGGTTTGAAAAATAAATGGTGAAAGTATTTTTGATATCTCAGGATACTAAAATCATGATAATAAAAACAAATTATTTTGTTTTTATTGCATGGTCTTTTTTCAACCCCAGCAATAGCATGGGGGATTGCATAACTAGCGCTGGCCAAGGAGCACCGTGTGGTGGGCAAGGATGCTGTCCTCTGTTTTGTTGTTTGAAACATCACAACAATACTACTGACTCCATGAGCATATCCTTAGCCCACCTGTTTCTTTCATCTGAAAGGAGAAGACTAATCATCATCTCTCCTTAATATTGACTAATCATCCTTATACTCCAAAAAAATGTGATGGATTTCACACAGAGGATGGTGATATTTTTTAAAGACTTATAGGAACTCTTGAGTTCTGGATGTTTCAGAATAATTCTGATTACATTTCTCCCCTAAGTTAAGCTGTAGTTGAAACTAAATCTCTTTTGTGAGCCAGAGGGTATAATGGACTCATAATTCAGCCTTTATGGTTGCCTTACATCCATCCATAGCAGGTTTTTATATTTAGAGTAAGACAAAACCTATCAATTTAATTGGTTAAGTCAATTCAGAGAACACAATAGCCTAAAGTATTGGATGAGTGTTTTCTTTTATTTTTGCCTTTGGGTAGATTCAACAATGGACTAATTGATTCTCATTCCTCAAGTTTAAACCTTTTGTATTGACTTTGAATGAGACATAATTTTTCATTCTATTTTTTGAACAGCCAGCTAGTTTTATTATTGCTTGCTTTACATATGACCTTCTCAGCTTTCTTGAATCAAAAGTGTTAAGTAGTAGAAATAAGAGTGGGCCAGGGATGGCAGGATCAGGGGCCAACTCCAAGTTCCTCTCTAATCCATGTGTCAATTTCATTTGCAAAATGTTTACTTCATAGATCAGCTCAAACACTACTCAAATATTGGTAAGTGTTATTATTCTCCCCAAATAAAGAATTGATCAAAGAACATGTATCTCTGTGCTGCTTGGAAGAGGAGATAACAAAAAAATGATATTAATTGCTTCTGGAAAGTAAAGAAACATTACATTGTAACACCTTCAGGTTTACATACTCTTCTTTAAAAACTAATTTCAACACACATGAGAACAAAACAAACAGGAACTAAAATAAGAACTCCAAGTGAGGTCCCTGTTCTAGATAACACTTCGCCTCACTTGATTTTCCTTTCAGTGAATTTATTTAAAAGAATTTATTTCAGAAACAGAATTTTGTCATTTCCCTCGCACCCTGCACCCACACCAAGAATTCCTCAAACTCTGTTCCATGGGGAAAATGTTCTTCAATGCTTCTCCAAGAGTCATTCTTTATTTAAATCTATTTGAAATACTGCACTGCATTTTCTCTAGGAGTCCGAAGGTGCAACTTAGCATATTAAATAAACCCTGCAGTAAATAAACCTGTTGAACTACAAGGCATCTTTCCCCTTAATTAATCTGAGCATGGTACACATGCCCCAAGAACATCCTTAGTAATGTCCTAGAGAAAAGTCTTCTTTTGACCACCAGTTGGACAAATACAGCAGCATGCATGAAAACGATAAGGTTTAGGAATAGTTAATCCACAAATTTGGAGGCATTAATAACTACCACTTACAGTTGAAGGTATAATCTACAATGTTCTAAGCCTCATGTAGACGAGGAAATTAGGGTTTTACTTAATGACCCGGTAAGCCTTGTCAGATCCTGGTTGCTCTGCCTCCTGGGTGTGTGGCTATAGTATTTATTAGTGCTGCTCAGGAGTACTGCCACTTTCCCTCCTTTGGGGCACAAAGTGGGATTGTACATTCTTTCCCCCGTAGAGTTAAGTGTGGCCATGTGACTTATTTTAACCAATGAAGTCTGAACAGATGTGAGGTGTGTATGAGCAGAGTACTTAGGAGCCAAGTATCATTCTCGATTCCTTTCCCTGTCATTGCAACTAGTGAGGTTCCAGATTGGGGGCCAGGTGCCCGAGGGAGAGTGATGTGGAGCAGATATGCCCTTGTCCCGAACATACGCAGCAACCCACGTCAGACATGCAGAGTGATCAAGAACTAAAACTTTGCTGTTTTAAGTCACTGCTATAGAGAAGCCAAATGCTACCGCATGCAGTCTCCTGGACTGTCCCCTCTATTACTTTACGGTGGCCCATGTGACCGCTCGTTGTCATTGCTGAGATGCACATGCCGCATGGTCCTTACTTACCATACAAGCTGGGATTCTCAATGTCCATTCGCTGCTTTTGAGCTTCAAGAAAAACACGGATGTTGATTCCTCTGGCGGCCGAGCTACAACCAAGGAATCTGGCTGGGATCTGGGAGCAGATGTCTGGCTCGTCAGCACCGAACCCCAGAGCCAGGAGAATTTCCACGGGATCATTTTCCCAAAAGTCCAGCCATTCGGGAATGCTGTGGTAAAAATATGAATTGCTTCATCTAATAACAGTTAACTTAATCCAAAGCTATTTGTTCTAGTCACCTCACCTACCCAATCTTCCAGGTAGTGAGTGAAAGAAGAAACTGAAGAGATGACGGTACATTTACTAAAGCTCGCTCGGATATGTACCTGAAGGAAAGCCTGGCAGCCCAGTCACGGACTGCTTGCCTGTACTTTACGTACAACACTGTGATTTAACTGGATTTCCATGTCACAATATGCAAATATTAAATTAGGTAGGGCAGGGAGATAGTGGACAGAAGCCAGCCAGAGGCAGGGCACTGACAACCACAAAGAAATGGTCACTGAAAGCAAAAAAGGAACAAAAAAACTGAAGGAGACTCATAGAAGAATATTTTAAAGAGTATCAGTCTGGGGCATCTTCAGCTACACAAATCTGTCTAGGATATCATTAAATGCAGACTACAGGACAGATGTTTACATATAATGATTTTAAGTCTCTACGTAGAAATATGTATTGTATTTTTTTTCAGACTTGGCTGAGAAACAAAAAATGCTTTTGTCAAATTATTCTAGTCCATTTTGGCACCTAAAATGAAAGATATCAGTTATCTGGATATTGTATGTCTATATATCAACTCACTTCTGAATTTCTCCTGGGTTACTATGCTATGGACCTTCCCATGGACTCTGGGAATCGGAGATTTTGACACCGTTTGACCAGGTTTGCTGAGCTCTTTTGTTGATGTTTCTGTTGGCCTTTACTTTACATGCAACATGAATGAAGTTTTTCGAGATGGTTTAGATAATTTTGCTTTCACGACTTCATCATTTAAATTGGATTAATTACGATTCATTTACTTATCCATTCACACATTCAGTAACAGCCACCTACAGTCTCACCAACCAGGTCCACTGACCAGACACCACCAGCATTATGTTCACAATTTCTTCCTTTTAAAAATAAATTTATTTTTAATTAACAAATAATAATTGTGTGTACTTATGAGGTACAGTGTGATGTTTTGATCTTTGTATATACATTATAGAAAAATTCAAACTAATGTACATATCCACTTTCTTACCAATTTATTTTTTTGGGATGAGAATGTAAGAAATCTATTCTTTTAGCACTGTTGAAATACACAATAAGTTATTATTAACTGTGATCACCATGCACTGCAATGGATTTAGATAGACCAATACTCATAATGTGAAGTGGAGATGGCTTATTTTGAGTATCTTAATCATTGGAATTAACTGGAGAATGTAGAATGCCAATCACGTGATTAAATCGACACAGACATTTTATTATGAGAAAGATTCAAGGAAGAAAAAAATTCTAAATCATGCGAGAAAAATTTATTTTTCTTGTTATTATATTTCTTGTTATTATATTTCTTGTTATTATATTTTCTGTTATTATATTTCTGTTATTATATTGACCTCACTGTAAAAACGTTTATCCTACCCATTTATACAAATATTTATCGAATATCTGTCATGTTCTAGGCTCATGTACTAGTACTCATGAGTACTAGTACTCATGTTCTAGTACTCATGAGTACTAGTACTCATGTTCTAGTACCCATGACACAAAAATGAACAAAGATAGTCCCTGCTTTCCAAAGGCTTCAGTCTCATGACCAAGAATATAATAGTTGATTGACTTTTCATTAAATATATTTTCATAGTGTGTGAAAATATCATTGGCCTTTGAATTCATATTTAATTTTTCAAGAAATATTAATACATAAAATATACTCACTTTGTAAAAAAATTATAATATTAGCTAAACATAAGGCTTTCTCGCCCTTTGGCCATTACTCTCATCAATCCTGATCCCCTTCCTGCTAAATCTATGTGTATTTTTCCAGATATTTTTCTCTGTAGTTACATACGTGCTTTATAGTTTTTTCTTGTTTGTTTTATATACAGTAACATATTCTATGTATCTTCCTGCATCTTTTTCCCTTAAAAATATGACTTGAAGAGCTTTCTAAATTGCTAAGCATATCTTTACCTAATTTTATTGCTATATAGAATTCCATAAAATGAATGGGCCAATAATTTCATTTGGCCATTTTCCCATTGACAGATATTTAGCCTGTTTCCAATTTTACTAACTCTCTTTTTTACTGTTCTTGCAAGTTGGAGTTCGGAAATCTTTTATTCATTCTCTCATCCATTCATTCACCAAGTGCCTGTTTATAATTTCATGAAATCCATTGCTGCACGGGAGGATTTCTCTGGATGAAAGTGCCTGGAAATTACATACCTTTGTGGTATACTTGCAGTAGAATGGCAAGAGTTGAAACTATTCCCTCTGGATAGAGTGGGAGTTCCTGAAAACTGATGCAGAGATCTACAGTGGGGAAAATACCAACAATGAGAGGTGTTGACTTAGATAGACCCCTGGGAGGTCATTGTAAATCTCTTTCTTCCAGAGCAAACATTTGCATTTCCTCTTAGTTTCTAATAATCCCACGATGGCCACGCCTCTGAAGAAGAGGGAGCTTGGAGGGAGGAGCTGCTCTTCTTTTCCAGAGTGCTGTGTTACAGAAGGTGTGAGAATTTAAGCGTTAGGTGCCTGCTAGTGTTCATTATAAAGGTGGCAGAGTGTCTCACTTTTGACAGATGGCAACTCATTGGGGAACCTTTCAGGAACACGGCTTCGCTAGGCACCAACTTTCGGCAAGAAGTAAAAATTATGTGATGAAAGAAGCACAGTGAGCAGCCACTGAAGCAACACCACGCTAATTCTCCTAGTAGCGAAGGGTTTCATACTGCATGGCTAACAATCTCTAAGTGCCGCCTCCAGGGCTCCTGTGGCAAATCCATATGCAAGGGGAACGAACTCTCCCATTGGAAAAACAAGAGTCACTCTATCCAGTAGACCTGCATTGTAAATCACTTGGAAGCTCTTCGAAAGAGAAGAGAACGTGTGATAGTATAGTTCAGTTTTATTTAGCTCAGCTATACCATGGATCACATCTAGCCCTCTCAAATACAGTAGCCAGTTGGCACAAAATTACAATTTATCAAAGAGTATAATGTTCCCAAGGAGACCAAGGTATCCCACTTGGGTGGCTGAATTTGTCTTAGTCTTATCCACATTCAGAAAGAATGGCTAGGCCCTGACTTTTCTTTGCTTAACTGCTTCCTTTCATTAAGGCTGAGAAAGTGTGTGTTTCTGGATAATAAAAACTCTTTTAACAGGCAGCTGAACTTGCTGGGCGTCTTGAGGAAAGGCAAAAGACACCTTTCACTCTCTGCCTCACCTCTGTTTGTATTAGGCCTGCCAGAATTTAGTTTTCATTCTGGGCTTGAGGGTCACACCTTATTTTGTAATGTTCAGCAGAGCCACCTAGAAGCAGCCCTGGCCTGAGGGCCAGAAGAATCCACGTGTAGTCACTTTTCTAATAAAGCCATGAGAGCCCAGGCTGGTCACCGAAACTGGCTCTTGTTTTTCTCCTTGTTAAAATGAGAGTTGTCTGAGAGATTTCTGTGGTCCCTTTTAGCTCTATGATTCTATAGGCAATAAAAACAACAATCGTCTAAGGGGAAAAAAAAAACTACGACAAATACCATTTTCAGTGTGAACTGGTTGGAGCGGTAGGGCGACAGTACTGCATATTTCATTCTCAACGAGTTGGAATTATCCTGAAAATCCAATTGTCATGACAGCACAGGAAGCAGAGTTCCTAACCTCAAAGACCTTATAGTGTATTCCAGTGTGCCTCAAACTCATCTGAAGGACTTGCAAAGATACAGATTTCTGGAGCTTACCTTCAGATTTTATGGCTCAGTAGGTCTGGGCTGGGGCTTGAGAATCTGCATTTCTATTAAGTTCCCAGGTGCTGTTGCCGCTGCTGTTCTGGGTACCACACTTTGGGACCTATTCTCTCCTCATACTAAGATACTCTCCCTGCTTTCTGCCTAATGTTGAAATCATATATATTACTGTCCAGTAAATGGAATGATGAGTAATAACATTGGCAAAATGAAACTATGAATGTAACTCTTTTATGAACAGGTCCTTAGGAACATGTGCAGTAGTAGAATGCCATTTATGCATATATTCTAATTAAATTTCCCCTGAAGTCAGCATTTATTGATTCAATTTGCTCACAGCTTTTTGACATTTCTCAAGGCGAGTGAAAATGTTCTAGGCATTGTGGCCAAACCACTGACCTTTCACAAGATACCAAAATCCATGATATTATTAGGAAACTTCTTCACTTCCGTTTCGTGTATCAAAGAAGTGGCTGTAAAATATTGGCGGGAAGTAACACTGATTCTGCTACCTACCTCATGTAGTCTTTCACGGTCATTTGAACCATCCCTTGTTCATACAAAGAAACTGCAACAACAACAACAACAACAAAGGTAGATGTGAACTTAATTTTCTTTTATCTCATGCAAAATTTTCTCAGCCCCAGTCGAACCAATGTAGAATTGAATTTCCATATCCAAAGTTGTATAGGTATGAACTACAAGGCCTTCTGGAGGGAACAAGACAGAATATAATTACTGGCTAAATTGTGTGACAAGCAGTTGAGGAAATATATTTGCTCAGTGAAGAAGGAAGTCAGTGGCAAAGGAAATAGCCAGCCAAGGTTTCATGGAGGAAAGTGGTACTTGTCTTGGATTTTTAAGAATGGGGAGAATTTGATGGATGGAGAAGAGGCATTGCCCTTAAAGAAGAGAAAAAGGATGTCTAAAAAGCAAGTGCAAATCACAGTGCTAGGGATAATGTGATTAGCTCACAGGGCACTTTGGGATACGTCCTCATGTTATGCAAAGTTGAGGAACCAGGGTGGGGGCAGGCAAAAGAATACAGGAAGGACTCAGCATTTATTGGGCATCTTCAAGTCATTTGTTATCATCTAATTCTTCCAATAGCATTATAATTAGAACTTGTCCTCATTGTTCCTATTAGAAACTGTGATTTACAGAAGTTTAATAACAAGCTTATGATCATATAGCCAAAAGAAGCAGATACAGGCATTTATTACTACCTTTATTATTGATTATAGCAGTAATAGCTATTATTTATTTAGCACTAACTTTATGTGAAGCAATATACTAGGTATGGTATGTGCACAATCTCTTTTAATTCTCACAACTAATCCAGGATTTAGGTATTATTAATCTCCACTTAGCATGGAAGAAAATTGAGGCTCAGAGAGATTAAATAAATTTCTCATGGCCAGTAAGATGCTACAGTTTATTTCAGTTTGTTGTTGTTGTTTCCATCATACCACACTTCCAACAGAATGTCCTGGAGCTTCTTTGGAAGCTAGAAAGAAGAGTTTATGTGTAGGTGTTAGGGCATGGAAATCCATGAAAGATTTTTGAGCAAACAAGTAAATGTGGGAAAGGTGAGGCTGAAGCTTCATTTGCCTAATAGTGGAGCTGAGCATGGAAAAGAGGAAATAAATATTGGTTCTCAGAGAGGCCCATTCAGTGCCAAATTTTGGAGGTGGAGTATGAGTACCTGTAGTTTTCAGTACATTTTTGAAAGACTCAGTGATCCTACTAAATGACAAAAAGAAAGAAAGAAAGAAAGAAAGAAAGAAAGAAAGAAAGAAAGAAAGAAAGAAAGAAAGCAAATAAAACAACAACAAAAATTAACATAGAAATATAGAAACTGGAGATATATTTTTGAGGTGTAAGTGAATAGTGGATTCTTAGCTAAGTCCAGAATGCATGACTAGAATTTAAAGAGGCAGTGAGAGAACAGGTATGGTAAATGTCTCTGCCTTGCAAAATAAATGGAACTCTGTCACCACAAGAGTCACATAGGGTAAGAAATATAAATCTATTTTAAAGGTTTAAATACAGAGTGGGGAATATATATATATATATATATATATATATAATATATTACATATATATGTGTGTGTATATATGTAGCTTCTGTGCTACCACTGCTAAGGCTACTCTCATGGAAGACATCATTAATCAATTGCATTACTTTCTTGTCACTTCTTCAGGAAAACCACTACCAACTGATTAGAATTATCACAAAAGATTAAGTTACTGACAATCTTTTGTTTAGAGAAAACTTCATGAGTTTTTTTGAGAAAAACAGAATAGGCTTGGGGTACATATTTAAGATTTAGAAGTTGCTAATATGAAGATAATACATAACTGCTTCATAGAACATTCCAGGGAGCCACTACCAAGAATGGAATATCAAAGTGAATGACCATTATTATGAAACAAATGTGATGTTTTTAAAATTTCCTATGTGCCATTTGGTGACAAATATTCATGTAAGTTATAATAGAATATTTGACATATATATATGTGCCAAATGAGAAATGAACTTAGAATCAAAACTCCAGTCTCCCCCCCACCCCCTGCCCACTTTACAAACATAGTATTAAAACTTTGGTTTTTATCAGAGGAATTCCACAACCATATGAAATCTTTTTAAAAATTCTACTTATTTAAATAGATAAAAAGAGAGCTGTTCTGCATGGACTGTTTTTCCCTTTAGCTCTTCCTTCACCCTGTGAGGCACCTCCAGGATCCAGAGTTTGAAAACTGTCATCTATTCAGCACACAAGTCCCCCAGCTAGGCAGGCATTGCTAATCCATTGCAGCACTCTTGCTCAGTGAACACAACTCAGTCTCAGAGCTTCCTAAACTCATAGCATCACTGCCAATTGATTGAAGTTGTCACATGAGTGAAAGCCTATTTGCCACCTTACTAATCATGTCATAGGTGCAAGCACAGTATAATTTTTAAGGAAATCATATTGTAACAACTTGATACCATGATGAATTAAAAAATAAGTTTCCCAAATGGAAGGTAAAATAAATATTTATTGTTTTAAGTAATTTTTTTTTCTATTTCTCCCTGCCACTTCCTACCAGCACCTCTTCTATCTACTACGTTGCATGTAACTCACAAAGTAAGCCTCCATATTTGCCTGGTTAAGTTTCTCTGGATAGTTATGGAGAGTTTCTGAGCACCTAATCTCTCCTAAAACATTCCACAGTTCTAGGACATTTGGCTGCCTATTCTGCTTGTACTGATGCACTTGCCACCACCGTGGTCTTTTCTGTTTATCTGCTCTTGCTCTGGATATCCTAGAATGTGCGAATAAATGTGTACATCCAGGCCAGGAATCTGCTATTGTAGCCACAGTGAATTGCTAAAATTGTCAGAGAGCAAATGATCCATTTTCAGATATTGATGAGAAGAGTGAGCTCAGCCTTGCTGAATTTTCAAAAACTCTATCCCCACAGAAAATCAAGTCACCCAGAATCTGAAGCCTTTCACCCAGGGCTTCTTCAAGATTTCTATTGCCCACACGGATCTAGTAGCCCCACTCTGCGGACCACACCCCTCTGCCTGCTGCTGTTAAGGAGCAATCCGGTTGCCAGGAAACCAAGGGCAGCCTCCTAGAGAAAAAGAAATCCCTAAAGGTAACATGTTTTCTAAGGGATGTGCAAAGTGGACCTGGCTTGGTCACAGTGTGTGCGTGGAGGGGTTCTGGTCTGATGATGCACATGAAAGCCTTACACAGTTTTAGAACCAGCTGTGGAAAGGGACTTCTAGCCTTCCACCGTACAGCTGGCATCCTGTGAGGTCCGGCCACCACTGACAATTAGGGGACTCCCCTCAGCTGAACCTCATCCTCCTTGACGTACAAATACAGCTTTCACATTCTTTACCAGACTCCTTAGACTTTTCCTTCTTCATCTTGTTGAAAATGACACAAATGTCTAACTGCAGCCAATATATTCAGACATAGAGTCCTCTCTGCCGCTAAGCTTAGATTTTTGGAGAAAACCAAGCCAAGGTAAACTGATAGGATTTTTTAAATTCACAAGATAAGCCTCATTTTTAAAATTGTGACAAACTTATTAAAAATTAATTAGGTTTATTGCTTGATTTCCATCTTCCATTCCAGCTCCCTAGGACCTGGAAGACCAAGTGGTATTTCCACAGCGTTACTGTGTGTTTATTGCCTGGTCACTGTGGGAGCAGCGATTGGCCTTTCCAGCATTTGGACCCAGGCAGTGGAGAGTCTTACACAGGGCAGTTGTTAAAATATTACCCCTTGCCTGTTTTGCTTTGGTTTTCCTCATTTCGCTAATGCGTAAGGTAAACTTTCTGGGGCCTTTGGACGGGTTCGTCAGGGTCAAGTTCTGCTTCCCTTTGCCTGTTTTTAATAAAGAACTTGAACGGAGAGGTGCAAGCTGGTGCCACTCCCACAACGTGCCAGTTCTCACAGGGACTGGAATTCCTGGACTTTCCTTAAAACTTGGCCGAGCCAGCAGCACTGGCCCAGCTGTCTTCAGGGCAGTGGTCTGTTGAAGGCAGCGTGTTCTCCAATGTTCTGCAGTCTCTTTCCCGCCCGCTTCCTTCATCAGCAATTACCTGCCTGGCTCCTGGAAGCATTTGAGTCTGCTACCTCCGATCAGAGCGAGAATCTCACTCCTAGGCAATGCCACAACAGGACAGACAAACTGCTCCTGCACCCGGGTTCCCCCCACGCTTCTGCAGGCACCAGGTGTGAGGCTGCTGAGGTAGAAGGTGGGACCCTTGCAGATGTACCTGTATTTCCCACGCAAAGCTCTGCTCACTAGGTCCTCCTCAATTCCACACTTGCTACTCTAGTTGCTTGGTCTTGATATTTTCTCCATTTTTTTTCCCTCTCTGGGATACCCTTGTTAGGCTTTTAAAACCAGATTTTACTCTCTAAAAGCATTTGGGGAAGGAGAGAGATAAAAAAAAAATTAAGTCCTACTATCCCCAAGTTTCCTAGAGTTGATATGGAGGAAAATTAAAGTGAGAAAAAAACTTTCCCTGCTCTATTCAATACATCCCATTCCTTGGGTTAAAATGCCAGCTCTGATTCCCTTTTAGATACTTGAGACTCCAGCCACCCTCCCTACTGCTAGGTGGACTTCTGCCATCTGAAGCAGCAGACACCACACTTAACCCTGCAAAATGTATTACTGGAGAAGATGTAGTTAGATATGCAGAAGGCACTAATTAGCACCTTTATTGGCTTAGAAAGCATTTTTTATTTTGGTTTTCCTAAGCATTTCTGACTGATTCATGGAAGACATTTGGTTCTTTGGAATATCGTCCAATAGACTAATCAAATTTCATTTTTGCAAGACTCTAAAATAATAGCATTCTGCAGCTTTCTGTATATTTAACTCCTGCATGACCAGGACACTTAGTAGAGGCAGTCGGCAGCAATTGTTTGTCTTACTTGGCAAATTATTAAGCCATATGCATGTTTAAAAAAATACCCTTACATTCTGCCTGACACTCATGCTCAAAACCTTAAAGCCGGTTGGAAACCTTTGTTCTTTTTCACCCACACATCT